CCGGTGGGCGTCGTCGTCCTACCATAAATTTAGAGAGTGTGCATTAAGGCGAGGGCCAAGTTTTACATTTATAGAAGCCACTACTACCTTCACTAAAAATATAGTTAGGGTGAGTAGGGATAGTCCCAAGGGATTGGAGTCGTACTAGCTTGTGGAATCACAATTAGGGTTAGTATGTCGAGTGATCGAACAAATAGTTGGTTGGTTAATTAAACTAGAAAGCAAATTAAACTAAATAATTAAATGCAATAAAGAGTAAGTAGGAGAGAGAGAAATCTTGGGGTTTAGAGGTCACCACCAAACAATGTTTTTCTACATCCTTATCTAGTGACTAATGAGGGAAATGTGTGTTGCAATATTGATGTGTGATTGTGTTTGGTTGATTCAATTCACAAGGATGACTAATTAAGGATACATTATCTAATCAACATGTGAAAAGTATAATATATCTAGCAATTAAGTGTATATTGTCTAAATAGCATGTGAAAAGCACAACATATCTAGCAAGTCATTAATACTTTCATTAAGCTCATAAGCCAAATACACCACAAGGTTAGAGACATATGCTACTTGCATTCAAAAATATGAAACATCAAACAACAAACATAGATTGTCCTCCTATCTAACAACTATGCTACCACTACACTACAATTAAGCTAATGACATGAAATTAAACTAAATAAGCTAAGGGAGAGGCACATTCCATCAAGAAATGAGCATGGACCATCTAGAAAATTACAAGAGTATTCATTTAAGTACTATGTTTTGACAATCTCTAGATCTATAATATTAATACACATAGACATGCATCAATAACACATGAAATACAGACAAACACATGAACATCAGTTCTAGCATACATAGACATATGGATAGAATGAAATGATCAATTGGAAGCATTAAACCACATAAATCATTGAATAAACAAGATCTATATAAATAAAAGTGCCAAAACTTGTATTACAACACTAATCCCTCAATAATACACAAAATCAATATGTAGAAAGCATGCTTGGGGCTAACTCTAGCCCCAAGAAGATGTGTAGCCACTCATGGTAGTGCTTCTCCAACCCTTAAGGGCTAACTCCATGGTAGAGATTTGCTCCTTGGTTGATGAAGAGTCTCTAATGGTGTCTCTAGCCTCCTCCTCCTCTAAGCTTGCTCTCCAAGAAATAATATGATATTAGGTAATGTGTCATCTTGTAAAAAGTAATCCTTATCCTTATATAGGTAGGTCAAATGACACCCAAAATGAGTTGGGGTCGTGCACAAAATATTCCCCAATGATTGAATAAAGGACAACTTTCAATGAGTTGGAAATTTAACTTTTTCGCACTGGAGAAAGTTCGATCGATTAAACCTTGGACTTGGATCGATCGAACATGGCTGAGATCTATCGAGCTTAGGCTGGATCGATCTTCATTGGTGGCGCTTTTTGGATAAAGACAAATCTGAGATATTTTGAAGATATTTTTGGGAAAAGGACAAAAGTAGTTGGTAAGGTGGTACAACTAGATAAGATCAATCATTTGGATAAGGACAAAGCAGTTCAATCGATCGAAGAATGATGTTGGATCGATCGAACTTTTAAGATCTCGAAAATGTCATCATGGCTTTGATCCATCTTGAAGTGCTGAGATCGATCATGTTGAATCGATCGAACTTTGATCTGAGATCGATCAAAGATGTTGATTTCCACATTTTTCTTCCTTTTGCTTCCACTTGGCTCCTTTCTTTGATTTATCCCAGAATTGCTTCATTTCTGCTCTTATTTAGCTGAGTTAGCTTATTTTCGGAATAAGTGTCTGAAAATGAAAATAATACGAAATCAATCTAAAACGGTAAAGTAAGATAGATAAAGGTACTAGAATACCTAAGCTTAAGGGGTTTAAATATGCACTTTTCAGCCCTCATCAGGTACTGATGAATTGGAGAAAGAAGATGTAGTGGAAAAACTTCTTCAGGATTGGAAACCTCCAGAGGTCCCTCTTTAAGATGTTTATCATAAGAAAGGAATTTCTTATCTGTGTAATGTTTACCATAAGAAGGGAAGTTTTGAATCGAAATCAGGTGGCTATGCAATCAAAACCCTAGAAAAAAACGGTGTCGATCCAAAATAAAGGCCAAGTTAAGCTGCAATTGCATGTAAGCCGTACCATCCAACAGCACAAGACGAGCTACGACTACCTCCATACGGGGTTAGTTCAAGTGGGTGTGAAGCCTTTTAACTAGAAATGCTTTGAATACATCTGTGTTGGTTTTTCTTTGCGATGATCGATTACTTAAGTTCAAAGACTCTTTATTAGCCACCATGGAAACCTCTCTTAGTGATGGAACAGTTTATTTCAATTGTTATCCAAACTATCCAGTGGCATTAATAGAGGATGCCTTGAAGTTTGGTTGGAAACTGTATGTTAGAACTCAAAATGGGGACGGGGAAACAACTTTCATACAGATGAATATGCTAAAGGATAACGTTGTTGTGGTGAAAACCGTGGAATGGGATTCATTTCATGTCCCGAATGAAGAGTAGACTTGATCATGAAGCCGATCGAGCTACTATATATGCATTTATCAATCGACAGACAATCCTGCAGGCGCGGCTTAATGTTGTGGTGAGAGGAAGCTAACTAGGGTAAATACAGAGTTGGTCTATGTCAAGGAATTAAGCTAGTCTTTCTTAGCAAGTAGCCTAAATGGAATTGGTGTGGTTTGGATGGCTTGATTTTCTTAGTGTTTTTTATAGGATGTTTATTATGTTTTTTGTGAGTGCATTAATTATTATTTTTCTTTTTCTTTTTTCTTTTTTTATCAATTTTGTATATTTGTTTGAACTAATTTTCGCTATGTAGTTTGGTCATGGTTGGCTTGTAATCGTCTTTCCTTTATGCTCCTCAATACTTTAGTTTCATCAATGCAACAAGTTCCTTTTCCTAACCAAAAGTAATAAGAATAAGGAATCTTAGTTGAGCTCCCCACATGCATGTTATATATTATATGTATGTGTATATTCATAAAAATGCATTGAGTGCTAAAGATTCCAAAAAAAAATAATGCATTGAGTGCATAAACAATGTAGAACACCTACAAGCATAACCCAAAAAAAAAAAGGGAAGAAGAAGAAGGTAATTTGGATTGACATTTCAGAGGTTTCGGTCAATGTCATTCAAATGCGGGTCAACATTTTTTTTTTTTTAATAACAACACCCCGTGTGGTTTCAAATGTCATATTTGTCCCCCTTGATTATTTAATTTAAATAATTTATAAAATATCAGCTCTGTTAATTGATGAAATTACCTTCATCATTAAGCTTATTTCTCTACCCTAATCTCTAACTCAAATTTTTTTTTTTTGTTCATTTTAGTACTTCGTCGCCAACACTCCCTCTCTATCTTCCCGATCTCTCTCATTCCCCTATTTCTTACTATGTTGTTGTTATTATTATTATTAGGATTAATTTCATTGAAACCCACTCAGGTTTGGCCAAATATCAGCTTGAAACATCTTTCAAAAATTACTATCACTCATATTGCAAACGTTTGTTCCATCTTTCACTCACACCCCAACCGCTACCTCCAGAGGTCTGACACCATTTAAAATGACTTAAATGCTTTTTGACTTTATCAAAAGCTATTTAACCTAAAAAAATTAGATTAAAAGACTAAACTAAACCATCTCTAGATACTTTGTAAATTTACAATTGTGTGTGTGTGTATATATTATATGAATATACATGAAAAAAGCTATAGTAAAAAAATACCCATCAATCTAAAGTTTATAGATCTGATTGTCGAATTCTTTTTTTGTTCCAGGAAAATTTTATAATTTTCAAGTTATTTCATGCAAAGATTGTTAATTCTCTGATCTATTTTCTATACCGTGTGTGTGTGTGTGTGTATATACATGTAAATATCCACATACATAGACACAATTACAGGTATATCATTTTCTTTCTCCGATTTTTTATTTTTTCATTTTTTGGAATCTATTTTCTATACTCTGTGTATATACGCAATATTCGCATACATGGACACAATTACATGAATTTATCAATTATTTTTTTCCGGATTTTCTTGGAAATGCTTTAATTCAAGACAAGAACTACAGCTAGAGGATAGGTTGTGGTGATCAGACAAAGAGGCACATCGTCGTGAGGAGAGAAGAAGGTGAAGGCGTCACCGTCAAGGATCTGATACCTGAGTTTCGATTATGGTGATGGTGTTGGAGATCATTGTAGCCGTATGAAATTGTTTCTCCATCGATTAAGAAATAGAGTCAGTTGAATTGTATAATAATGTACTGTATAATATATTATATAAAGTATAACGTATATAATGATATTCGTACGTATGGTAAAATAAAGTGTAGGTGAGAGTATTTTTAACCGTTGTATATATATTTTTTGTGTAAATCTTATGTGTCATAATAGATTTACACAAAAATTTTAATTATTTATTTTTAGTTCCAACGGTTATTTTATACCTTTTGTGTTATTTTATACCTTTTGTGTAAAAATATATTTTTCAATAACAACTGTTATGTCAAGATTCATTATAAAACGCACTTTTATTCAATTAAAAAAATTTGTAATAATATTGGATTGGGATTTTTTAAATTCCATTATATGATTCTTTGTCTTTTAATTTTTTTTTTATTTCTATTAATTTTTGTTAGTATAAATTTGTATATATATATGTTTGTATATTTTGTTTGTAAGTTGTGATTATTTTTATTTATATTTTAAAAAAAATTACTTTTCATTCTTAATCTAGTACCCCAAATTAGGTTAAGCTACCCCTGTTTAAATCAGATGGAGCCTCCCCCTCGTAGGTTAAATACAATAAGTTACAGCCTTTCACGGTGAACTCAACTATTGAGTGACAGCATAGACTTGAAATAGGCCTTCCAAAAGCTGCTTTAGTGCTTTACGAACCTTATCTTTTATTACAACAGCTCTGAAGTCCGTTTTTGAAGTCCGAAAGTTTGCCTATTTATCTTCATCTATGCTCACTATCAGAGAAATTATTATCTCACATTTTAAGCGTTAGCGTTTAGTTCACGGCTTCCAGCAAGTAAGTGTATTTTTTATTTATTTTTCGCTCTGTGGTCTGTTTGGTTTATATGTTATTTATTTGGTACTAATTACTTTATTTTGTGAATAGTTTGGAAGCTAGCTAGTGTTGATAGAAATGGAAATCTCGATCAAGTGTTTCATTGGATGTCCAAAAAATGGTACTGATGAATTGGAGAAAGAAGATGTGGTAGAAAAACTTCTTCAGGATTGGAAACCTCCAGAGGTCCCTCTTTATGATGTTTATCACAAGAAAGGAATTTCTTTTCTGTCTAATGTTTTCCATAAGAAGGGAACTTTTGAATCCAAATCAGGTCGCTATGCGATCAAAACCCTAGAAAAAACGGTGTCAATCCAAAATAAAGGCCAAGTTGAGCTTCAATTGCATGCAAGCCATACCATCCAACAGCACAAGATGAGCTACGACTACCTCCATACGGGGTTAGTACAAGTGGGTGTGAAGCCTTTAACTAGAAATGGTTTGAATACATCTGTGTTGGTTTTTCTTCGCGACGGTGGATTTCTTAGGTTCAAAGACTCTATATTAGCCACCATGGAGACCTCTCTCAATGATGGACCAGTTTATTTCAATTGTTATCCAAACTATCCAGTGTCATTAAATGACGCCTTAAAAACTTGGAAACTGTATGTTAGAACTCAAAATGGGGATGATGAAGATAATAATCAGGAGGGCTCAAAAGATACGGCTATTGTTTATAGGGTTTATTACAAAGTAATGAAATCAGCTTTTAGTCGGGGCTCAAAAGTGTCACACACAATTGGGGAAACAACTTTCATACAGACGAATCTACTCAAGGATAACGTTGCTGTGGCGAAAACCGTTGAATGGGATTTATTGCAAGTCCCGAATGAGGTGTACGCAGACTTGAACATGAAGCCGAGCTAGCTACTATATATGCATTTATCAATCCTGCAGGCGTGGCTTAATGTCTTGGTGAGAGGAAGCTAGCTAGGGTAAAGATAGAGTTGCTCTATGTCAAGGAATTAAGCTAGTATTTCTTGGCAATTAGCAGAAATGGTATTGGTGTGGGTTGGATGGCTTGGTTTTCTTAGTCTTTTTATCGATGTCTATTATGTTTTGTGAGTGCATTTATTATTATTATTATTTTTCTTTTTTCTTTTTTAATCAGTTTTGTATATTTGCTTGATCTAATTTTCGCTATGTAGTTTTGTCGTGGTTGGCTTGTTGTGGTCGTCTTTCCTTTGTGCTCCTCAATACTTTAGTTTCATCAGTGCAACAAGTTCCTTTTCCTAACCAAAGTAGGGATAATAAGGAAACCATAGTTGAGCACGCTACATGCATGTTTTTTATTTTTATCTTTATTTTTATTTTTATTTTTTTATGTGCATGTACATATTCATAAAAATGCATTGAGTGCTAAACATTCCAAAAGAAAATGATGCATTAAGTGCTTAAACAATGTAGAACACCTACAAACAGACCAAAAAAAAAAAAAAATGTAAATTAGATTCACACCTCAGGTTTCGGTTAGTGTCACTCGAATGTCGGTCAAAGGTTTTTTTTAATAATGACACCTCTTATGATTTCAAATGTCATATTTGTTTCTGATTATTTAATTCAATTAATTTACAAAATATCAGCTTTGTTAATTGACGAAATTATCTTCATCATTAAGTCTTTTTCTCCATTCTAATCTTTAACTTTTTCTTTTTTTTTTTTTACCTAGCTATCAACGCTCTCTCTCCCTCTCTCTCTCTTCCGATCTCTCTTGTTCCCTTATTTCTTACTATGTTATTTATTATTATTTTAAATTGCATCCCTTGTCATTCTTCTCATCGGTGGAAGAGCTATCGGTGGCCGGTGGATGAATACGTAACTAGTGGTGGAGGAGATGGTGACTAAGGCAAGTTAATTCGCATAATTTGGGGAGAAAATGTTGTTGCAGTGTGGTGGTGTTAAATTTGTGATTGAGATTAGTAACGAAAGGGAAGTGAGTGTGAGATGAGAGAGAGAATTGATGAGAATGGTGAGATAAAAATAACCATCATTGTTTATAACTTTTTTTTTTTTTGGGGGGGGGGGGGGGGGGGGGGGGGGGGTGTGGCCATAGTTGTTTTTAATTTTTTTCTACTCTAGTGGTGGTTGTTTGGTATGAAGGTGTTTCAAAAATTTTATTATTTTATTATTTTTTCTATTATGGTGATGGTGTGGTTCTAGTAGTGTTTGGCTGTGTTGGTGTTGTTTGGGTGTATTGGTGTTGTTTTAGTGTGGTCGCGGTGTCTTGGTGTGATCGTGGTTCTGATGGCGTTTGGGAAATATAAGTATGGGTTGGCTATGGTTGTTTTATTATTTTTTTATTTTTTATTTTTTGGGTGGTTGTGATGTTTGGGTGTGGTTATGGTGGTGTTCTGGCTATTTAAACAAATAATATATATTTTTTCTTTTTTATTTTTTATATTGTGGTTGTGGTGGTGGTTTCTCGATGTGACAGTGGTTATGGTGGTACAAGTATTGTTATATATAAACTATACCTATATGTATAGAAAAGATGAAGAGGTTTGTTTGGTCCATTAAAATTAGTTAAGAGGTTAAATTTGTAATTTCATGATTTAAATGTAGTTGTTGACAAGTTAAAGGGTTAAAAGGTAATTTCATATAGTCTCAGAGGTTAATATACAATTTTGAATCTTTGGGGAATATTAATGTAAAAAAAGCCATTGACCATCCACTGAGCGGCGTTGACCAAAATTTCAGGGGGTATCAGTGCAATTTACCCAAAGAGAGAGAGAGAGAGAGAGAGAGAGAGATTGAATACGTACACAATTTTTGCACTGTGTTCACCCATCTCTTTGCAAAGGTGAGTCCCAATCTTAGGGTTTTGGAGATTTTCAAGTAAGTTATTGACCTCGGGCTCTATTTGTTTCTTCTACTAGACTCGGCACAAGGTTAATTTCCCTCCTGTCCTGCATTCCTTTTGCTCGGTTGATCGAGGATTACTTGGGGAGCGTTATGGTTCGGGGGTTGCACCTAGGCTGCTAAATAATACCATTGGGATTTGGGCCTAAAGGAGTGGGCTAAACGTCTATCGGACGTGGTTGCGGTGGCATGTCGATCTATTGGATAGTTGCTCGAAGTGCGTTGTTCTTTAAACGAAAGAAGTTGATTTGTGCTAGGCTGGCTTGACATAGGACATCAAACTGCTGTAAGGATTTCTCATGCATCTTATGCATAATCTCCAACTGTTGTTGTTGAATAGTGTCTGCTCCAATGACCATCCCAAAGTGATGTTGCATGTATCAAACTGTAAAAAATAATGAGAAACTTCAGTCATTTTCCATGTACAGCGCCAAAGTGGCGTTGCAATAATTTGTTTGACTAAGAAATGTTAACATCAATACAACACACTGAAAGAAATAATAAAGAATAAAGAGTAGCAATTCTGCAAAGAGCCAAGCAGCCCAACGTTACCAAGTCTCAACTTTTCAGAGAGAGGTCCAAAAAATATTTTAAAGGAAATACAATTTTATTGAAAATTTTCAATTTTCATCTAACTAAACTCACAATTATTTTAAAAATTTTAGTTTATTTTTCTATTTAGGTACTTCACCATATAAACTTTAATAATTCGTGTTAAGCCATTAATAACAAATTTACATGAATCCCATATCTTAGAACTTCATGATTTTCACAAATCTATAATGCATAAATAAATATAGTTAGATATAAATGCCTCGATCTATGATTGCAAGTATCGTAGAGATCAAGTCCAACGTCGAGATCCTTTCTGCCACGAACTAAACTGCAACTCTGATCAATAGGCAAAGCGTAGAAACTGGTTTCTCTCTCTTGGTTTTTTGCACACATAAAACTTTTACGTGTTGTATCATTAAATGTAGATAATTGATGGAGTATATGGACTTTTGTAAAGGCAGAGAAAGGACCAGTTTTCCTTTTAGTAACCTAATTCCACTTTCCATCAAAGTAAGGAACAAGAAAGGAAAACACTTCTCCAATAAATAATTATCAAAAAGGTAATTTATAAGTTGACCAAATAATATAATATTAATCTGATATATATTTTATTTAGCCACCAAATAATATGTCACATGTCCAAATCATGTGGGCCATAATTAAAATAAATAATTTTACATTCTCCCATTTGGCACATTTGATAACTTATATAGTGGTTTAGTAAAATAATCATTAGTGTACACCATAAGTCAAATTGACTCATTAAGTTGGTCATCATAAATACCATGGTAAATAAACTACCAATGCGAGTCATGGCGGTTATATGTCCCTAAATTACACAGTCCCTTCCATGTACCACAACACTAGTAACCTATTCAACATAGTCTATAAATGAGAAATATCATTAATGATCTAACAATAATATCATTTCCAATACTATTCCTATTACCATTTATTAAAGCAATACGTACATGTACATTAATTAATAGGAAATATCATAAACACATTTAATCAGCGCAAAATGTCAAATATATATAAGCACTGTTAAGCAATCCACAATTAAAAAATAATCATCATTGACTACATTCAAGACCCATTCTTTTAACATGTTTCATAAATGTATTGGGTCGTAGTCCATTCGTTAATGGATTGCAATCATAAGTTATGTACTTATATATTCAATAGACATTCATTGTTTCTAAACATTTTCTTTAAAGATAAAGTATTTCAACTTTAGAATACCTATCATTTTTTATACAAGAAGATCAATAATTGCAGTATAAATTTTCAGCAATCTGAAAATGGTACCCATAACTCCAAATCCTGAAATAAATTCTGCAATTATAAATTGTAACCTTAAAGCATGTTACAAATTAAAAAAATTCATAATAAACAAAGTAATAAAAAATTACTTTGTACTTTTTCATAACATTGTTCTTCCAGCCAAAAGAAATAAATAACCAATTAAATTTTTTTTTCCTAAGTGTAAGCATATAATCTTTTATCGCATACTAACTTGTATATGTATCAAACTCCACAATATATGCATAAGGAATATTTTTCGTTTTTTTTACCTTCTAGCTAACTCATTCTTTGGGATTGCATTAAGCTGAATTTATCCCCATTTATGTATGGATTAATACTGGTTAAATAATGTTACATACCAAATCTTTCTAGAACTCTTTCAATATATGCTTTCTGAGACAATTCTAAAAAATCCACGTGATTTATCATGAAATATTTCTATTCCTATCACATAGGATGCCTCATCCATATATTTCATTTTAAAGTTCTTAGAGATAACTTTTAATTTCATATAATAAACTAAGATCACTGCTAATAAATAAAATATCATCAATATATAGAATCAGAAAGATAAATTTACTCCCACTAACTTTCTAGTATATACACTGATCAATAGTATTTTTCTTAAAACCAAAAGAAATAATGGTATCACTAAACTTAATATACCATTGTTAGAAAGTTTGTTTAAATCTATATATTGACATCTTAAGTTTACAGACCATGAATTATTTACCCTTTAATGTGAAGCCTTCAGGTTGTTTCATATGGACTTCCTCTTATAAACTCCCATTTGTAAAAGTTATATTCACATTCATTTGATGTAACTCTAAATCATAATAAGTTACTAATGCCATAATATTTTAAAAGATTCATTCTTAAATACTAGAGATAAGATTTCTTTATAATCTCTTCATTCATAACACTAATCCATTTAGTAAAATCATTATTGTGTTTGTGATATGTAACCAGATCCGTATATATCTCACTCTATATCAAAATCAGATTCTTGCGGATATATCACATAGTCATCCGGAATAGCAGATCTCCTTTCTTTTTGAGATCGTCTTAATGTTATTTCTTATGATTCTTCTACAATCTATTCATTGGTGACAATCTCATTATAGAGTTGTTGATCATTCAATTGTTATTCGTTGTTATACAGTTCAACAACTGAAGGAACAATTATTACTTTAGAAGTTATGGGTAAAGAAATTTGTACCACAACTTCTTAAATGATTACATTCTTATTTTTTATCACTCACACTTACTTCACCATTCTTAATGAATCTGTCATTACCGGTTTCAATAATTATCGTACTATATTTAGGATAGTAAAACTTGTACCCTTTAGATTTCTTAATATCCATAACATTATGGGTAACGAGAAATTACTTAGCATATTCCTAACCATATCCATAAGAGTATGATTACGCCTTTCAGTTACATGTTTCTGCTGTGC